AAAAAAAAAAAAAAAAAATTTTTTTTTTTGATGTCTGGGTCTCACCCTCAGCTGATTTACTTAGTCTAGAAAAGGGCATGGACAATTGAGTTTTTCAATTCTGCCCAAATGATTCAAAGGTACTAGAATAGCACCTTTCACTATCGACTTCAATCTTTTGCCATTTTGCAAGGTTATTTCTTTTTTCCAAATTCCAAGATTTTCACTTTCTCTGCCTTGCTTGGTTTTTGCCTATAGCAAAATTCAGTTACGCTGATTTACTATGCAGAACAATTCAACATCCAACCCCCAGTCTCTAGAGGGCCTAACTTTGCATATCTAAAGACTAGTCCAAGAGTTCTGCTAATCCAGTTTCCTAAAAGTATGTTACCTATTGCCCTGGGAGAGTGTGATTTAAAGTGATGCATGCATAATTTTAAAAAATTTCACCAGTTCCATGTTTATTGTAATGTGCATCACTAAAAAAATGTAACTGACACAAGTATTATTGCTTAAGACAAGAAATTAATTTTTAAATGGGGAAATATAATGGAGGTTCAGGATAAAACAAAATCATGAAAATGGTCTACACATGAATGAAGTTCCAAAGAATTTTTACCTATGATATAAGATTTCATAAGAATTCAAAATAACATCACCAGAATTTGAAAATTTTATGATTTTTAAGGAAAAAAACTATAAAGGATCATTTTTAGAATGTGAAATAAGAAAAAAAGAGTAAGTCCTTTAACCAGCTAATTTCTGAAAGAATATTGGTGACATTTTTTACATTTGTTGAAAATTAATACACAAATACAGAGAACTCTAAAACTCTTGAGGAGAAATTTTTAAAACTCAACTAGTCCCATTACTATGAAACCTCAGCAAACCAAAGAAAATTAGATCTTAACCAGCACTTAGACCAATGGCAAATTGCTCAGCAGCTATGGAAACCACAAGGTGACTGAAAATATGCTCAATATCCTGAGAAGAGTCCTATAAACCTATAATTAAATATCCAGTGGAATTATCTAGAAGAAACAAGGGCAAATTTTAAAAATTTCAGGTAGGAAAAAAAACATCATTTGCCACATCATGCTATCATTCAAGAAAATTCTGAAATAACTTACTACAGGCTCAAGGAAAAAAACCCAGAAGGAAGATTTGAGAAATGCAAAAAAAAAAAAAAAATAATAATAATAAATAAATAAAATGCTGTTATATACGTGGGTGAGTCTAAAAAATAAGATGCCTAAACACGATGACAGAATAAAACTAAAAGAGTGAATAATATAAACGGGGAGGGCAAACTAAAACCTCCAGAACCACTGAGTGAAATCCGCCCCGACATTTTAACTTTTTTGTTGCATGCCATTCTCAATTTAAATAGTCTCATAATTTTTTGTATGGTGAACTTATTTTTGAAGGTGTTTTGTTTTGTTTTAATGAGAACTCCTTTCAGCCTAGGCTGGGAAGCACACCTCTTTGAGGTGGTTTCATCTTTGCTTCTGCCATTCAAGGTACACTATATCAGGATTTTTTTGAAGGTAGCAAGGACAGTGGGCTGGGAAGTTAATTTTCTTCACTTTGAGATCCCAGGAACATTTAAGTGCTATAAATTTAAATGCCAAACTCATGAAATGCAGGCTTGGTGTTTAAAAATGTAATGAGTTAAATTTTTTCCCTTATCATCCAAGTTTCCTTATCTTCTTTTTGTATTTTTGGTACTGGGGATAGAACTCAGGACCTTGAGTTTACGAGGCAGGCTCCATGTCAATGAGCTAAACTCAAGGCCCAGTCTCCTTATCTTCTTATCCAGAGGTGTTTTCCATTTTTCCTAGTCCACTGTTTCACTTAGGATGATGCCTTTGGGACACTGGGTTTTTTCAGGTCACTTATACTAGGTCTCATTCTGCCCTACCCCAAGTCTTTACTTGCCCTTATGTCTCTAAGCCTACAGTTACCAAGATTAATGCCACCTTGTCCACCCTGAAGAATACGAACCATCCTAGTTTGTTTGTGATGTAGAACTTTTTCAGTGCTAAAACCAGTAAAGTCTTGGGCAAATTAGTATAATTGGTGACCCTATTCTGATTTTCCATTAGTTTCATTTTTGGCACCCTAAGATTTCCTTTCATTTCATATTGGTTTAGCTATAACACCATATTAAAAGTAATAATTTTGAATAACATTACTAACAGTTGTTACAGTTTCCATGTTATGGAAGTTTACCATTTTATCAGCTTGAAAGATCATTTTAATATTTTGTCAGTACAAAGGGGAAGTTTGAGAATAGATAGGCATTTACCCCCGTAAATAGAAGGTGCTGAAGTGATTTCCAAAATTGCGGGCTGAGCGCCATCAGCTGCCTCACGCTTGGCCCTGCTGTGGACTCTATTTCTCTGAGAATGTTCTGGAATTCTCTAGGTAGGCTTAGCTTTTCCTGTAAAGCCTAGAAGAAAAACACTTCCATTAAATTTAAGCTCCCTTAAGGAGATATGTTTTCTTATGTGTTCACTGCTGGATGTGACCTATCAGGTAATAGTAGGCGTTCAATAACTTTCTTAAAAGAAAAGAAAGGTCCTGAAAGCCGATGGGCGGCTCATCTGGCATTTCCGCCAATCCAACCTCATCGGCCTGAAAATATGCCAGAACAGTATCCAAGTGGCTGACCTACTGTTATCTCCTCTATTTTCCATAGATCTGTGCCTATTTTTTGTTTCTATAGGCGTTTCAGAGAATTTTGGACGGGTAAATCGGGAAAAATCTCGCGCATCCAAGGCGGCGCCATCTTGACACTAGCGTGTGGACATTTAAAATTTTTTAATTTTACTATATGTTCATGAACGCGCGATGATTTCAACGGGACTTCAACGGCACACGCGAGGTGACGCATGTCCATCAGTCCGTCTGTCTGACAAGCACACCTCCCACGGCGCGGCGCTGCACCCCCTCTAGCAATGTCAGTGGGGAAATCTCTGCCAGCCCCTCATTGTGAGAAAAGTTTTATCACAACAGGGGCTGAGCCCAAAGGGATAAGCAGAGAAATCTGTTTGAAAGAAAAGGTGCTCATGGCACAACTGAATGGGGACTATCAGCTGTTGGTTTTCAGGAGCATGCGCAAAATGCAGACAAGAAGCCTCAGGTGCCGCCATCATGGTGAGTTGAGGGAAAGGCTGAAGCGCCTCAAGGCCAGCGTCGTCTTCGAGGGCTGGTAAAACTGTGCGTTTGGGGTGTGGGGGGGCAGATAAAAGGGGAGTCGGCCCAAGTTTCATGTCCCGGGACGCTTTCCTATCGGGCCACAAGGGCGGTCTGCAGCGGCCTCGCGGCCTTTGAGGCACCTGGGCCGGTGGGAGATGGCGGGAAGCCCGGGGGTAGGTGCCTTTCTAGTCTCTGTGAGGCCCAGGCAGC